GTTGACTCTTTTAATACCCTTGTGATTTTAGTCCACTAGATTTATCTCATTTTGGGCATACCCAAAAAACAACTTCCTGTTTTAATACTGCTTGTGCTAGTTCTTGGATATCTGCACAAGGGGCGTGACACCTATTTCACAGAAATGACAATTTATGATGTGGAAGCCCGTTTGTTAGGACTGACCACAGATTCACCACAGCTTCATAATGATTTAAATGGTTGATTTTCTGCAATTCTACTAGCAAACTCTCTTCGAATATTCTATTAATAACTGCTAGGAGGTGCACAACGAAACCGTTTGAAACCCAGTCCAGGTTCGGGGGACCCGTCAAGGGTCGGGGCCAGTTAAGGGTATCGGACCAGTCAAGGGTTCGGACCAGTCAAGGGTTCGGACCAGTAGTCGCATCTGATCTGATCAGTGGGGTCATTAATTTAAACCATACTGGTCGGTGTTTTGAGCTAACACATGAAGGATCTACTGGAATTATCTACCCTAGTATATGTGATTTGATTGATAAACACAACAAGTATATCTTGCATGTTGAAGGAGCTGGTGGACTGCTGGCATCCTACAATGACGAACGGTCGCGACCTCCCACCCTTGTTTATCAAGCGCTGTATCTAGCTTCTCTATTTTTTTTTTTTTTTTTTTTTTCCGTCTCCACCACATAAATGTATATTATCACTATTGTTGACTGGTGCAAATTTTGGAGGAAAGGGCGCTTTTTCTGTAGTAATAATTGCTTCTCGTTGTGTATATTGCGACGTGGTAACTACCGGTTATATTAAATTCACAGTAAACGCTTGGATTTTCCAGAAAAAAAGAAACTAATGGAAAGTCACTCCACCCACTAGTTACCATTATATTAACTGGTTAGTTGCTAACTACAAACTGAATTTCTGCTATTCACTGGCGTATCACTAGATTATATGCGAGTAACTAGCAGGCCAGGAAGATTATTAAAAAACAGCTGACCTGTGGGTATGTTTCTGGACCGGCGCTTCTGGCACCTGCCTCTATAGGTTTTATCACTTCATTTACAAGTGCACCTGTTTTCAAATGACTCACTTTAGCCTTATCATCAATATACTAGGGAGCCCTGTAGTATACATATACCACTATGTATACTCCATGCTTTCAGGAGACTTTCTTTCCTTTGACACAAAGTTCAATTATTATTATTTTTCCACACGGGACAGGCCTATGATTCCCCTCTGGCAGTAAACTCTGTTAGGTAGTGCACACAATTCTCCTTTTTTTACTCAGTATATAATGTTTTCCGCCCAAGATTGGTTCCAGGCGCTAGAGGGATGTATCGTATAGGATTGATGACACAAATTAAAGTTCTAGCACGTAAGAGCGACCGTGAAAACACCAGAAAACCGGGAGCACAACGAGGCACGCTGACACTGGACCCTATATGGTAGGGGAAGTGGAATATTCAAATGGCTTCAGGAAGAAATCCAGATATTCTTCCTTGAAGCCTTTTTATCCACTTATCCGAGGGGCTATGGGGTCCCACATTACTACCAGAGGTGGACCATCTTAAAAACAAAGTATATATACCGGATATTTTTAGTGCAGTCGATAAAGCTAGAATTGAAAACATGTTAAATTACGGATACTTATCCATCGGCTCAGTAATGTATTTGTGAACAGTAAACTGTGAGTATATCTTCTCTAAAGTATTGTGACCATTACGTTGACGTGTGCTCGCTCGCTGCTTCCCCAACTGTTTTTTTTCCTCGTCAACAGAGGTCTTCTTCAAGGCATTTCAAAATTCAGTCTTTTCAGTTTCAGTTGTATTGCTTTATTGAATGTAATGAAAGAGTGATGGAGCTTTTTCAACTTTTTTTTTTATAGTCTTTACTCACTAGCTATGACAGATAATACCGGAAAAAAAAAAAAAGTCGTTTCTGTATTTATAGCTTCGTTTAAGGGTGCTTGTGGAGAGAATATCAGAGTGGAATAGGTATAGGGGAATCATTTACGGTCCAAGTAATAAATCATTTTAACATTACTAAGAACGCCTCTAAGACCTAAAATATGTACTTACTGGAGGGGAGGAGGACTTCCAAAGGACAAAGTATTCCCAGTGATCTCGCTAGAGATTATTTGAAGAATGAGTACCACCAGAGCAGTCAATGAGTTCAAGATAGGGAAAAAGCAAAAAACAAATCCGTACTGTTGATACCTTTTATTAAACAAGCTAGCAATGACAACCAACAATGGATGGACCCGCTCTAGAATCAATCAGCTGACATCAAATCCAGCAAGCTCCTGTCAACTAACCCAAGCTCTTGTCTCCTGTGCTGCGTTAAAAATGGCAATTGCAAATATGTACTAACACCAGGTCATGTCAATCACGTGTGCAATCTTGTATACAAATGTAGTCAATAACAAAACTTGCGACTAGCGAGGGCTCGAACCGATGTAGTTTTGGAATGCAAAACAAACGGGGTTCGAGCTCCTCGGGTGTTAGTCGCCATGTTGTATTCATTAAATACACTCGTTCGTGATTACAATACGATATATATATATTTATATATATATAGATATATATATATATATATATATATATATATATATATATATCTATATATATATATATGTATATATATATATATATTATATATATATATTATTTATATATATATATATATATATATATATAGATATTATATATATATGTCGTGGACGAATATGTAAAAATGGTCAATTAGCAGAACTCATCAAAATTTAAGTCTTTCTGAATCTTTCTTTTTTACATTTAAAGAGATATTTTTGCATTAATGTTAACGTAAAAATTTTTAATTTTGGCCACAAAAGGAATCTTAGAAAAACTTACCTAACTTATTATACACAAGAGGCAATTTATTTTAGCCTAGCCCAACTAAATATATTTTAGATTTGTTTTACAACAATTTAATACTAACACAAAACACAGTGAAATATATTTTTCGTGAAGGATCAGAATGGATTTGGCGAAATTATTGATACACAAATTTTCAATTGTCCTATATGCAAGATGAGCGGTGTATTTAAGCAAAGATCGCAAGGTTCTGCCTATTCGCAGACATATATCATATATATATGCTAGGGAGGTACCACTATATAAGTTGATGGGGAGCCTCATCAGAGGGTCAGAGAAGACAATAATTTACCTCAGGAAAACTAAAGGTTCTCCCCCATGTTGAATATTTTCTTCTCTACCACCCCCTTATTTATTTCATGGAAAATTTTTAAATAGACAAAATTTTGGGGGAAACAAAACATGAATCAATGGACAATATGTTAAAGTTAGGGGTTTTCCCTCCAGTCCCCGAAGCCGGACGCGAGCCAATATGCGAACATTTTCTCCGGATGGCCACGCGAGGCGCTAAACAAAAGGGCTCCCTTGGGTCCCTGGTTTTGATATCTGGAACCCAATTTTTTTAAGAAGTGTGGCTTTTTTTTCCCTTGACCCCAAAGGGGACAAATTGATACTATTGGTTTGGCCCTGTCTTCGATCTTGTGCTCCTCCCTGGGGTCAGCAGCTCCCCCTGTCCCCCTGTGAGGATATAGGGTCACCATTGGCACACAGGTAAGTCCCATCAAGAGTTCCCATTTTTCCAAAGGAAAGATGGTGATCCCTTGGGGCGGTTTGCTGGATTGGGGTTATTGTTGGCTGCAGTGATGGGGGCTCCCTCTCGGCGGACACCCACTGTAAAAGGGGTTCTCTTTAGGGTGGTCTTTGTTTCATTGTGTCTTGCTCCCACCCGGGGTTTTGGAACAGTCAAGTTGTAGACCATTTTGGCCGGCTTGCGTTTCGCCGCAGATACACTATATTCCGTGTGAATTGGGGCCAGCAAGGCGCAGAGCCACTGCAACTACGGAGGGTGTTAGGGTCGAGGTGCGTGTTCGCGTTGCCGATATGGGAACTGTTTGGAGGAAGTCCCAGGAGTGAGTAGAACTCACAGTGGAGATAATGGGCAAGCACCTTTTCAAACGATCGGGGCCATCCCAGCTTGACTGTTTGTGAGCCAGTGCTGCACTAGGTTTGGCGTTGGAGCAGCAAGTGAGTCTCCATTCAGCGATGGCACTGGATAGTTAGGGTTCTGTATTCCTGCTGAGACACTGAGGTTTCAGGAAAATTTGTCTTATTAATTCGTTTGATGCTATTGGAAAGAGGATAGGAAAGATGTTGAGCAATCTGGGAGGATCTGGTGTACTCCCAGCCCCCCAAGCTAAACAACCACGGGGGAGTGGACATGATAGTTCTAGGCCTTTCGTATTGCATTCAGCACATCACAGGAGCTTGCAAAATTGCAGAAAAGAGTGAGGGTTTCTACGAGAATACATTCCCAGAGGACCGCGTCACTGGAGTGAGAGAGGGAGAGAGAAGGAACTTGAAGTGCCCACAGGCACAACAGCCAGAAGGATGAATATTATAGCATTAGAAAAATCCTACAAAACATTGATATTTGTAACCTTAACGAAATTAACGTAGCCTAAAATAATAAGTTCAGTCATATTCCGCTATGACAAATAACAATAATTTTTCAGTATAGAATGGGGAGTCCCACAATGTGCAAAAGCCTCGGCGAGAAGGTGGATAAGAAGGCTTCGAGGAAGAATATTGGATTTATTCCTAAGCCATTTGAATTATTCACTTCCCCTACCACCACAACTTGTAATTTTTTAAATAATTAGTATATTTTATTAAATAGTATGTACACAATTCAAAAGATCATTGCTGTTACGAAGATTGCTTATGTCTACATAGAAGTTCGGGGGAATACATTTTAAACGCATATTGCTACATGTTTATCACAGATTCCCCACTATATCACTGGTGATATAGTGGGGGGTAAGTTCACCTGTATTTTCTAGAATTCTGGAACTTCCTGAAGCTGGAAGCAGCCTATCCTTCCTCCCAGTGGTTGGAGATAGGTATCAGCCAGTGTAGTATCATACCATCTGCTTGCCGTCTGTCCTTCTAGGCACTTTTGGTTAACCCATCCAATTTGCATCATTGGGGTGGCTCTTATTGCTGGGCTTCCGGCTGTTCGCAGGCTCCTTTGATGATGTTTTTAACTCTTCATGCCTTGCAATCTTTCCTCGAAACCTGCAGGACATAAGACCATGGTTAAATCCAATCGGTCTACCAATTCACTGCCGCAAATAAACAGTGTTCGTCGTGAGAGAGAAATAGGGGCGGCAAGTTCGATGGGCAAACACCAATGTGGATGTGTCTTGTGGATGGAGGAGGGTGCCAAGGAGGAGTTTGGAAACAGGCAACAGAGTCCCTGAATGAGTAGCTCTTTGCAAGGTGGCGGAGTCTCTATCCTTCCCCTGCACATTCTGAAGCACTGTTGAGGCTGTATCGCCACTACTGGGCAATCACAGTGTGACTGTTTTGTCGTTGTTGGTGGGGCACAGGTCTGGTTTCAGAGCCCCGTTAGATTATCTAGGACAGGGTGGGCTTCCCGTCTACGCTCTTTGACATTGGACTCTAACTTTGTACCTAGAGGTCCATTGGAATGGAACGCATGAGGGACAGGTAAGCAGGTAGCGCAATCACTGATTTCAATGCCTCCCAGTTGACTGGATGTTAAGGTGGTCCCACTAGCCATCTTCCAGAGCACAAGGTTGAGTACTTTCGTTTTAAAAATAGGCCTAGGATGCTGATGTTATTAAGGCAGTATAGGGTTATTATTTGAGGGTGCCCATGTAGGAAAATATGTTACCTGGAGGACTAAAGCACTTTGTGAGAAGGTTACAATGCATATGTATGTCCAAGACCCTATTCATTTCCATCTCCTCTACTCATTCCAGTTGTTTCCTGACAATTGAGTTAGTGGCATCACTTCCCAGAGGTGCTCCAAGCAAGATGCTATTTGAAGGGGCATTGATTGATGTTCCTGAAGTTCTGATGTCACTGCATCAATCGTTGCTTGTTGACTCCAAATGAGTCCCATTTGTTGTCGCCGTTGTCATCATTGTGTAAGATCATCTATAAAGGACTCTTTGTACCAGCCAGTGTGCCATCATCCCAGTAACGAGATGTTTAGCCTCATGGTCAGTGTTGACCGTGATTTCCCTAACTGCTTAACACGAAGACACCCCTGGACACCCTTGATGAGTCGTTAATTTCATGATTTCAAAACAGGAACATTGATTCCTTCCTAAATCCAGCTGAAACTAAAGGGAAGAGACCAGGGAAAATGATCTTGTACAGCTGCTAATAACACATCTCTTTTCAGGAGATTAAGTGCATCTTGAAATCTTATTTATACCACTTCGTTGTCTTCAGCAAGTTGTTGATACACCTAATTGCATGAACTGCTGCTTCATTCCCTTGGGGACCTCAAAACCAAGCTGGTTTGGTTGAAATTGAAGCATCATGGCAGCTTATGTGCGAATATTCAGACAGCATTTTTTGGAAACGAGCGGTGGCGAAAAGTGTTGCCCATGGGGCACCAAACTGGCAAAAATTCCTTGCTTTTTTTTTTTAAGGGCACAAAGTTGATGTCCAAAAAAGAAAGGTATAATTTCATCAGGAATCGGCCAGCGAAGAAGCTGTTAAACGAACTTGTGAGTTCTGAAAGCAGATAATGTCTCTGCAATCTCCCCGATAACTGGATTAACCTTTTCTTTAAATGCTGGTGGCTCTCTAGTAGTGTGCTCTGCATAGCCAGACGGGAACGACATAATTGCTTTATTAAACCTCTGAATCTTGCGCAAACAGTGATTCCACAGTGGGACGGGTTGTTTGACCTGTGGTGCCTGGTTTCCCTGATAGGGGTGTTTTTCTTAAGTGGTTTAATGTTGTCAAGCACCCTGGTGGCAACTGTTATCTTTGCTGCGATTATGCTGATTACCTCCACTCTGCTGCCCTCTTCAATTTTCTTCCCCCAAATGGATCGGATTTTCACGGGTTACTGGAATGAGTAGGAGTTTTATAGCCCCTCCCATTTTTGCATTAATACGAAAGGCAAATCAGATTATATATATATATATAATAATATATATATTATATATATATATATATATATATATTTATATATAATATATATATATATATATATATATTAATATAAATATTATATCTATATATTTATATTATATATATATACATATATTGACTCTAGTCTCATGGTTGGAGTTAGTAGTGAAGTATGAGCACCATTGGTAGCCTTTAAGACACCGCAAACCATTGCAACGGTTGTTGTCTCTACTATTTGGCGACAACTGGAAAGTCATTTGAGGTGAGAAATGTCCCAGCACCGTTTTCGATACGTATAGCACAGGAGTCGAACGCTATTTTCACCATATTAGAGCCTGTAATAACCCTGCAAATTGGCTGGAGCAAGATCATCTTTCCTAGTTTCTCCTGGCTTGAAAAGGAATATTGTAGAAATCGGCCTATTACTAAGCATGACAGGCAGTAGTCATTATCAATATCAAGTGATGGACTGTTCAAAATTAGATGCATTTTTTGTTGAAGCAATAGTACACAATTTTCAAATTGGGCTATTATGCGTATGGACACCAGACTTTAAATGTGTCACACCGAGGAATTAGTGGTATTTTCTGCAGATTTCGGAAAGACTGAACAGTGTTTGCCTCAGGATATGTCGGGATGGAATATCGGTGGCCATTTTGTATTGCGATGCCTCCCCTCTCTTTAAACTAGTTTATGGTTAATGAGCCTTGTTTCCTTTACATTTAGTCTTCCCCTCTATATATTAGGGTTTTTCTCTCGTCATTTGAAGGACGTGTTGTCAGTGGAGGGCATTATAATTACCAATGACTCTTAGGTCGCAGACAAATGTTTATATCGTATTTAAAGTTAGTTGTTGTCATGCGGAATATGACTGAATTTATTACTATTGCTACGTTTAATTTCATTTAGGTTACAATATCAATGCTTGTAGGATTTTTCTAATCCTAAATTTCTCTAATGCTATATAGTATTCAATCCTTTGGCGTTTTGTACCTGTGGGCACTTCCGGTACCTTCTACTTTCTCCCTTCTCACTCCAGTCATCCTGTCACATCGCGGTCATATGGGAACGTATTCTCGTGGAACTCCTCCTATTTTTCTGCAATTTTGCAGCTCCTGATGATGGTTGATGGCAAATCGAAAGGGCTTGAGCTATGTTCTTTCTTCCCGTGGTTGTTTTGCAACTTTGTAATTCTTGATTTGCAATTATTTGCTTTATATATATTATATATTTTATATTTTTATTATCACACTGGCCGATTTCCTCCAAGGCAGGGTGGCCCGAAAAAGATAAACTTTTCACATCCAATCACTCCATCACAGTTTGCCAGAAGGGTGCTGACATACGTTTTTTAAAACTGCAACATTAACACCCCTCCATCAGGAGGTGCAGGCAACTGTACTTCCATCTCAGGGACTCAAGTCGGCCTGCCCCGGTTTTCCCTGAATCCCTTATAAATGTTATTTGTCACACTCAAACAGCACGTCAAGTATTTTAAAAACCATTTGTCTCCATTCACTCCTATCAATAAAACACCTCATGCATGCCTGCTGGAAGTCCAAGCCCCTCGCACACAAAACCTCCTTTACCCCCTCCCTCGGCCTTTTTCTAGGCCGACCCCTACCCTCCTTTCCTTCCATACAGACTGAGACACTCTTGTAGTCATTCTGTTTCGCTCCATTCTCTCCACATGTCCGACACTCAAAACCCTCTCAGCCCTCTGGACACAGTTTTGGTAATCCCGCACCTCTCTAAACTTCCAAACTACGGATTCTTTGCATTATATTCACACCACCAACATTGCCCTCAGACATGAATCTCACTGCCCCTTTTTTTTTTTCCAAAGCCTTCTCCTCGCTGCAACATTCATCACCCATGCTTCACACCCACTAAGAGCGTTGGTAAAACTATACTCTTCATACAATTCCCCTCTTTGCCTCAAGGACAAAGTTCTTTGTCTCCACGATCATAAGTGACACCACTCACCCTTTTCCCCTCATCAATTCCATGATTCACCTCATCTTTCATAGACAATCAGCTGACACGTCACTCCCAAATATCTGTATACATTCACCCTCCTCCATACTCTCTCCTCCATCTGATATCCAATCTTTCCCTCACCTAATCTTTTGGTTATCTCATAACCTTACTCTTTCCTGTAATTCACTTTCAATTTTCTTCCTTTTGTACCCCTACCAAATTTTTTTTCTAATCACCAATCACTGCAACTTCTCTTCAGAATTTCCCAAGAGCCACAGTGTATCAGCAAAGAGCAACTGTTATGACAAAACTCCCACTTTATTTGTGATTCTTTTCTTTTAACTCACGGCTCTTGCCCAAGACCCTCGCATTTACCACTTACACCCATCTATAAATATAATAAACAACCAATGGTGACATCACACATCACCTTGTCTAAGGCTACTGTTATGGGAAATAATTTCCATCTTACCTAACATACTCTAACTTGAGCCTCACTATCATCGTAAAAACTCTTCATGCTTTCAGTAACTACCTCCTACACATACACCTGCCACATTTGCCCCCCCTATCCACCCTGTCATAGCCTTTTTCCAAATCCATAAATGCCACAAAGACCTCTTTTTGCCTTATCTAAATACTGTTCACTTATATGTTTCACTGTAAACACCTGGTCCACACACCCCATACCTTTCCTAAAGGCCTCCTTGTTATCTGCTATCCTATTCTCCGTCTTACTCTTAATTCTTTCAATAAAACTCTACCATACACTTTACAGGTATATCAACAGACTTATCCCCTATAATTTTTGCACTTTCTCTTTTTCCCCTTTGCTTTATACAAAGGAACTATGCATGCTCTCTGGCCAGTCCCTAGGTACCTTACCTCTTCATACATTATTAAATAATTGCACCAACCACTCCAAAACTATATCCCCATCTGCTTTTAACATTTCTATCTTTATCCCATCAATCCCGGCTGCCGTACCCCTTTCATTTTTACCTACTGCCTCACGAACTTCCCCCACCTCACAACTGGACTCTTCCTACTCCTACAAGATGTTATTCCTCCTTGCCCTATACACGAAATCAAAGGCTTCCCTATCTTCATCAACATTTAACAATTCCTCAAAATATTCACTCCATCTTACCAGATACCTCTAACTCTCCATTTTAATAACTCTCCTCTCCTATTTTTAACTGACAAATCCATTTGTTTCTTGGCTTTCTTTAACTTGTTAATCTCACTCCAATACTTTTTCTTATTTTCAACATGAAAATTGTTGATAACATATCACCACTCTCCCATTTGCTCTCTTTTTACATTGCTTCACCCACTCTCTTAACCTCTTCTCTTTTTCTCCATATTACTCTTCCTCCTTGCATCCTTCTACTTTATTTATTCTATTTATATAATATTATATATATTATATATATATAATATATTATATTATATATTATATATATGGAACTAAACCTTGGTAATTAAATACCGACAAGTTGGTTTAGAAAGACACGTAAGCAAACACTATACATATTTATTAGAAAACGTTTCGGTCCTGCGACCTGATCACTTCTAACCCTACAGAGTAGAAAGACATTATATATATAGGCGGAGAGTGAGATGTGACGCAGTGACCTGAGATGTTCATAAGGGAACATAAGGAATGGAGGAACACTGTAGAAGGCCTACTGGCCAAGCGGGCAGGTCCATTATCAATACACCTCTACCTATGATGAAGACGGGTAGGAACGATGGAAATCATGTGATCCTGTGTTGTTGGGTGGTGCTGCTTAAGTATCATGTATGCCAATGTTTTTGTAAATTTTGTTGTTTCCAGTGTTGCGTTCCTATAGTGTCCGATGACGGCGATTAGTGAGGCTTCTAGGCACGTCGGGTCTGAGTCTGGTTCGGTGAGAACGAGTTGTGCTCATTCCAGTTCAGCAAATGCCCCGTGGAGTCTCTGTGGAGGACACAGGCGTACTGACATCATCTCTGTTAGAGGCATTTCGCATGCTCACTCAGGGGGACTGCAAGATCTTTGCCTTGTTCTCGCCTAACATATTTCTTGGGACAGAACCCACAGGGATAGTGTCTATCCAAAGACCTCACTACGAAACGCGGCCAACACCTCTAACCTCTACAGCAGGCGTAACACTATCCCCTGTGGGTTATGTTCCTAAGAAATATGTAGCGAGTACAGGCAGAGATCTTGCAGTTCCGCCTGAGTGAGCATCGAAATGCTTCTAACAGAGACGATTGTAAGGTACGCCTGTGTCCTCCCACAGAGAACTCACGGGGCGCATTTGATGAACTGGATGAGGCACAACCTCGTTCTACCGAAACCAGGACTCAGACGCCGACGGTGCATTAGAAGCCTCACTAATCGCCGTACCGACCACTATAGAACGCCCAACATGGAAAAACTACAAAATTTCAAAAACTTGCTTACATGATATTAAGCAGCACCACACCCTACACACAGGAGTCACATGATTTCTTCATCTACCGTTCTCATCTTAGGCAGAGGTTGTTTTGATAAGGCCTGCCTCGCATGGGCCAGTAGGCCTTCTACAGTATTCCTCCATTCTTATGTTCTTTGACATTCCTCAGGTCACGTGCGTAAACATCTCAATCTCCGCGCTATTATATATAATGTCTTTCTACCTCTGTATGATAGAAGTGATCAAGGTCCCAGGACCCGATACTGTACTAATAATATGTT